AAGGAGGATTCTGGGAAAGAGGCAGAGAGAGACACAATGTAGCCCGCCAGAGGAGTAAGAGGTCCGGACACTTTTCTCAGGTAAGAGAAATACTTAGATTAACAATTATGGGTTAAATACTTAAGTCAGAGCTAGCCAGTAAGAAACAAGCAAATGGCTAACAGCTTCATAATTAATATAGTGTCCTGTGTTATTTGGGGACTGCAACTGTGGCAGCGCCCAGGCGGATGGCAGGGAAGGCTACACTCTACAACCACCCTCATTTGTATTAGTTACAGGTCACATGTTTTAAAGCCCCCAAATCTGTCACATTTCTCATCCCCAGCGTCCACAGTCAGAGGTTGGGCACAACTGAGTCCTTTGCTAGGGACTCTACAAGCTGGATTTAAGGTCATGGCTGGAGTCCTCTCAGAGGCTTGAGGTCACTTTCTAAGCCGGTCTCAGTCTGTCACCCAGGCTCTTCTCAGCTTCTGGGGTGTTGCCTCTGCAAACAGAGAATCTCCATGGCGTTTTAGGGACTGTGACATTGAGAATGGCTGTCCCATCATCCTTGTCATTAAGAGTGAGCCTCGACAGGTGGTGGTGGCACGCACACACCTTTAATCCCAGCACTCGGGAGGCAGAGGCAGGCGGATCTCTGTGAGTTCGAGGCCAATCTGGTCTACAGAGCAAGTTCCAGGGCAAACAGAGCTACACAGAGAAACCCTGTCTCAGAGAGAGAGAGAGAGAGAGAGAGAGAGAGAGAGAGAGAGAGAGAGAGAGAGAGAGAGAGAGAGAGAGAAGAAAACAAAACACAAAACAAAAACAAACCCCAAAACACAAGTCTCATCAAAGGCACAATGGCCCAATCATGTCAACAGTCCGTGGCTGGGTCAGGGAAGCCCATCTGAACCCCTTACCCCATCCCCTGGAAATGTTCCATGGCTTCAGAGGTAGGTAGCTAGAAGCAGAACTTTCTGTAGCCAATGGGATTGGACACTTCACACTCAAGGTTCAGGAAACCTCAGAACTACAGTGTTCTCTATGCTTCCTTATGCTTTTAAGCTATGGTTGACATGGAACGGTCTGTTTTGTTCTGTTTAGCCCTTTCTGGGGGCCTGAGACAGGACTGTGGCTTAGAGCAGAGAGGGACAGCTTGGATGGTATACCACTGTAGGCCTGGCCAGGAGATTGCAGCTGCTTCCTACTTTTGCCCCAACTCAGATTCCTTCGGTTAGCATCCCATCAATTAGTCTTAGGAGGCTTCAGGGTGCAGGAGAACAACCCCACGGTTGTTCTGAGGATCTGCCTTCTTCTGGTATGGGGTGGTGGATCTCGCAGGAGACCTCATGACTGGACCACAGAGGCAGGTGTGACGTTCTGCTGGGACTTTGAGGCCCCAGAGCTGTGCTGCAGCTTCTGATGCTTAATCCTGGCGGTCAGCTCTCCTGAGAATGACACGTTTTGCTCAGTCTTTCTATTACTGTACTTGGCTGGGCCTCAGTAAATCCCAGCAGATGTCTGGGCAGGTGGCAGTGGTATAGTCTCAGCCGGTGTAACTAAGAGTCCGAAGCCTATGGCCTGAGCCCCACCCTGATTGGCATCAGGTGCTCCTCACTCCTGGTTTAAATGTTACCAAATTCGTACCAATCTTAAATCTCATTTTTCTCTGTTGTATTTTGAAGCTAAGGGGTTTAGTCTCCTAGCCGGGAAGATGAGTGACCCTGTTGATTGTGACAGTCTGTAGCTCTTAGCCCTAGAAACATGGCTTTCTAACCACAGCTCCCCGAGTCTCAAGAGCCCAGCAGCAGTGCTGGTGCCCTGCTTAGGAACTCTCCCTTCAAGACTCCTGCTTTTCTGTAGCAGCCTGGTCTGCTGCCAGCACGCCTCTCCTGTTGCTTGTTGAACTCATTTGAATCCATCTGTGAACCTGGCTGACTTCAAGTATACCAGACATCCGATCTCATCCCCCGTCCACATGCCACAATGTCCTTCTGCAGCTTCCTGGATCCACATCCTACTTTGTCCTGGGGCTTCACAGGTATCTGTGACCTCTGTCCTCATCCCAGCTGGGGAACTGCCACCCCAGTGGACTCTGCCTTAACTTGGCAGCTGCAGAAAAGAGGGTCTTGTTCTTATGTAGGTAGAAGCAAGGCCTGCCACGCATACACGCTGATTCTAGCAGAGCCAGCGCAAGCGTCTCCCGGGCTCACCAAGTGCATTCCAGTGTGCAGGACAGAAGCTGTGAATCTTGTTTTTAAATTAATTACATTTTATCGACTGCTGGGCAAGAGATCAAACACAAACAAATCTCCTGTAATCCCCACCAAATGTGGAGCAGGGCCCCAGCGTGCTCAGCATGGGGGTCTCTGCAGCCAGTCACTGTTCTACCTGGCAGGAGGTGGTGTGGCTGCAGGCTCAGACCACACGGCAGAGATGGTGTGAGGACACAGATAAGGAAATCTCTCTGTTTCCAGGTCCCACCAGAGCATCCGGGGGAAGAGCTTGTTTTTCAGACATTCAGTCTTCCCAGGGCAGTCTTCCCGTGCACCCTCCCTTGATGGGCAGAGTGCTCATTCATATTAGCTCTTTTCTGCTACTTGCAGAAGCAAGCTGAACGAGGCAAGGCTTGTCTGCTTGGCAGAGCTCTGCTGTCACAGGATAGAGAACAGCAACACATGTGTGCCTGTGTATGAATGTGTGTGTGCACGCACGCCAGAGCTCAACATTGGGCATCTTGCTTGATCTTATGAAGGCCTTATTTTTTTTTTAAATCTAAAGGATTTAAAAATTTTATTTTATGCATATGAGTGTTTTGATTGCATGTATACATGTTTACTTTGGATGTGCCCAGTGCCTGTGGAAGTCAGAAGAGGCCATTGGATCCCTTAGAACTGGGCCTATGGATGTTTGTACACCAACATCTGGGTGCTGGGAACCAAGCCTGGGTCCTTTACTGCAAGAAGGAGTCCTCTTAATCACTAAGTTATTACTTTCACCTCCTTATTTAAAAGTATAGTTATTATGTACGTGTGTGTGTGTGTGTGTGTGTGTGTGTTTTATTCATGTATGTCTGTGCATCTTATGCATACTGGACACTCAGAGACAAGGGCATCAGAACCCCTGGGGCTAGAGCTACAGATGGGTGTGAGCTGCCATGAGCTTAAGGGCACCCAGTGCTCTTAACTGTTGAGCCGTTACTCTAGCCCCAGTCCCAGGATCTCTCACTAAACCTTGAGCTCACTATTCAGCTAGACTGACTGGCAACCAACTCCAGGGATCCTCCTGTCTCTGCCTCTCCAGCATTAAAGATTCAGGCATTTACCCCCTCATCCTGACTTTTTATGTGGGTCCTGGGAATCTAAACTCCGGCCCTTATGCTTTTATGATGAGCACTTTACAGACTGAGTCATCTCCCCAGAGTCAGGCGGACTTTTAGTTGGTTTATCATGTAACCCCCAATTGTATGAACCCTGAGGAAGGTTGCTCTCACTACCCCACTCTTACAATGCTATGAATAAAGACTAATACTCTTACAGTAGATACTACCCCAGGAAGTATTACCAACTCGGCACTACAGGGAAAGGAATTACCTGTCAGCAGTGCTTTCCTGGGGTGCTGTGTTCCCCACTACAGTTATCTTCTCTTTTCCTAGTCCCCCACATCCCTGTTGTGACCTGCAACTCCAGGGGGGGGTGGTTCCACTTCCTGTCTCTGTCTTCTGTGCCTTTCTCTTCCTTTCCTTTCTATTCCAGGCTTTGCCTGTCTTTCCTTTCACTGCCTCTGTCCTGGCTCTTTCTCTGTTTTGCGCTGCTCCGTTCTTGGGGACATGCAGGAAGCATTCCTCCATAGCCTCCCCAGGCTCCCATCTCCAGCACTGCTGTCTTGTGGTTAACATCCTAGCGTGGGTGTTTGGGGGACAGTAACAGTCAGCTGGGTGGAACTGTGTCACACACCTATAAAACCAGCACATAGGTGACTGAGAAGGGAGATAGGTGCCAGGTAGGCCTGAGCTACAAGGCAAGGGAGAACCTGCCTCAGCAAAATGAAACGAAACCAGATCAAAGTGAAGCTGTTAAAAAAAAAAAGAAGGCGGGGCAGTGGTGGTGCACGCCTTTAACCCCAGCACTCGGGAGGCAGAGGCAGGCAGATCACTGTGAGTTTGAGGCCAGTCTGGACCGACAGCCTCCAAAACAATACAGAGAAACCCTGTCTCGTAAAAGCCAAAAAAAAAAAAAAAAAGAAGTATTTATTTCACTTTTCATGAGTATTCGTTTGCCTGGGTGTATGTATGTAGCCCATCCGCATGTCTGATGGCATGGAGGTCTGAAGAGGGTGTACGATGGGTCTCTGATGGTTGTGAGCCACCCTGTGGGTGCCAGGAACCAAGCTCAGGTCCCCTGCAAGAGCAGTAAGTACTCTTTAGTCCTTGAGCCATCTCCCTCTGCAACAACAAATTTTAAAGGATGTGCATATCTTTTTATTTATTCTTCTCTCATACAGTACATCCTGATCCAAGCTTCCCTTCCTCCCTCTTCTCCCACCCCATCCACCGACCCTCTCCCCTAGATCTACCCCCGCCCCATCTCCCTCCAGAGAAGAGCAGGCCTCCCTGGACATCACCTGAACATGACACATCCAGATACAGTAAGGCCAGACATCAGCCCTCATATCAAGGCTGGTCACGGCAGCCCAAAAGAAGGAAGATTGAGGGGCTGGAGATATGGCTCAGCCCTTCAAGGCTAGGCTTACAACCAAAAAAAAATAAAAATAAAAAATAATTTTTTTGAGACAAGGTTTCTTCGTGTAGTCCTGGTTGTCCTAGAACTCACTCTGTAGACCAGGCTGGCTTCGAACTCAAAGATCTGCCTGCCTCTGCCTCACGAGTACTGGGATTGAAGGCATCCAGCTTAACAAAAAAAAATTTGCACCATAGTCTCGTGCATCCCAGGCTGGCTTGAATTTGCTCTGTAGCCAAGCCTGCTTTTAAACTCTTGATCTTCCTGTCTCCACCCCCTAAGTGCCGAGATTACAGGTGTGGCCCTGATCCTGGGAAGCAGGAGGTCAAGTCTGGACGTGAGTCTTTGTAGACATAATGAAGCTGATTCCAAGTGACTGAGGTGAGACCACCCTGGGTCATCCAGGAGGGACCCGGAAAGATAAACAGTGTCCTGATAGATTCAGAAAAGGGGAAGAGAGACAGCCTGGTGACCACGGAGGAAGAAACTGGGCAGCTCGGCCACAGACTGGGAGGGGTGGACTGCAGAGAGCACCAGTAGCCGGAAGAGGGCAGGTGAACCCTTGCTGGAGACCCAAGGCAGCATCTGTCACTCGGTGACGTGGGCTTTCTTGCCCATGCTGCTCAAGGTCAAATTCTTGCTGTTGCAGCTCAGGGTACTGTATTTGCCCAAACCCACGGCCAGCCAGCAGCCGCCACGCACCACAGGATGCCAATATCTAGCCCAATGGGTCCTGCTGAGTGCTGTCCTGTATTTCAGCAAACAAAAAATCCAGCAGACCTCAAGTTCTTGGGTAAAATCACATGGTAGCCTTGAGACACAGGGGTACAGAAAAGACGTCTCTGGCTTTGCCTGGAAAGCCCAGGCCTGCCCAGCAAAGTCTAAATGTCCCTGACAGTTTCTTGTTCTTTATCCTTTTGCTTCATTGTGATCACGGCATGTCAATACCTCTCCAAATGGTCTTAATGAAGGTGGATAGATCCTTGGAGAGGGCAGCACCCATGCTCCGGGCCACACGTGAGTACTGTTGCTTTCTGGTGCCTTCAGACTTGTGTCCTGTGGGTGTCCTGAGGTCCCCCAGAGAAGCTCTACTCTTAGCCCTAGCATCCGGGAGAAGCCCAGGGCAATGTTGCCATCCTGTAGACAGTTCAGCCTACAGGGGGGCATGCTGATTCCGGCTGCCACAAGTCACTGCTGGCCCTGCCTCTTCTTCCGTCTCCAAGGTTCCTTCCCCCTTTCAGTGTCTCCTGTCCCTGTCAGTCACCTGGGGCATGGTCAGTCTGTGGTTCCCGCATCACCTCCCTCTGTGTCACCTTGGATTTTCCTTCTGGGAGCCTGTGGCTTTTGTTCACTTTGCTGGGTGTCTTTGTCACCCACCGGGGCTCTGGATCTTGCCTGCCTGGTACCTCCCTGACCCCTATGCAGTCAGGCACATTCTAGTGCTGGGCTGTGAAGAGATGTCACAGTGATGATCACGGCTCAGCTGTGGTGGTCACCCATGTGAGTAGGGAGGGACACTGAGCTCAGGCACCCAGCCTGGGAGAGCAGCCCAGTCTCGCTTGCTTGAAATTCAACTTTGAAGAAGCTGCCAACACCTGTGGGTACAGCAGCTCCAGGATCAGATAGGCCCTTCACAGACGCACAGCAGGCCATTGGTGGTTGGCCCTGCATTGTCTGTCTGTCTGTCTGTCTGTCTGTCTGTCTGTCTGTCTAACAGTGTCTCACTATGTAGTCCTTCTGGCCTGGAACTCACTGCGTAGATTGGTTATTGGCCCTGCATTGTCTGTCTGTCTATCTATCTTTCTAACAGTGTCTCACCATGTAGTCCTTCTGGCCTGGAACTCACTGTGTAGATCATGCTGGCCTTGAATTCAGAGATCTACCTGACTCTGCCTCCCAAATGCTGGAATTAAATAAAGGTGTGTGCCACCACACCTGGCTGACCCCGTACTTTGGGGGACATTATAAACTGTTGGATAAGTTCATTACAGTTCTCCCTCGTCCTGTTAGTCAACACTATATATAAGTAGTCCTGCTATATCTGCAGGGAGCTCATGACCAGCTGGACTTGGGGGGAGATACTTGAACTCTATTCTTAGAGGCCTTTGACCTTCCAGGAGAGTCCTCAGGGTATGCCTGAGTACTGGGGATAGGGAAGCAGCCTGGCTGGCAGAATCAATAGCGAACAGGGCTGAAAGCAAGATTGGAGTTGGTCTGAGGGAGAAGGTAGGACCCTGCCTTGACCTACAAGAATCATCTGTGCCCATCCTGGGAGGTCCCTCACACACAGCATGGGAAGGCAGGTGTGTGGTGGCTTGGGGACAAGAAGTGCCTTAGAATGGAAGCCTCTGTTCTGCCTGCATCCAACCTCCTGGCCAGCTGCTCTCCAGCACCTTCCTATTTTTAGCACTCTGAACACATCTGCCTGGCTTCCTCGGCACCTCTGGCCCTGGACCCTACAAATTACAGACATGTTATCTGAGGCTGAGCTGCAGGCAGAAATTGCAGTCTATTAAGATTTGGAGAGATTTAACATAACAAGACAAACAGGAGAAGGAATTTAATTTAGTGATAAAAAAAGTAATCAAATCTCTACTGTGGACACAGGGCAGTCGCCTGAATCACTGATTGTTTCCATACATCAACATGTAGTCCATTATGAAGCAATTAACATGGTGGCTGGTTTTGCAGAAAGACCAGCCTGGCAGGCCCCACCCCTCCAGTCATTCCAGAGTTGGGTGGACATTGTGAGGCCACCTGGGAAGAGGCACCAACTTGAAAATCGTTTTTGCAAGCAAAACCACCCAGGAGCATGGCCTTGATTTGTACTCTCTGTTGTCCTTTTTTTTTTTTTTTTTTTTTTTTAGCAAACTCAGACTTCTGGAAGTCTCATTTGCGGGCATTGTGCGGCATCAATGCCTGGTATTGCTTGCCTTCTGCTGCTTCAGCGAACATCCGAAGCTTTGTTTCTCCTGTCCAGCTGTCTGCTCTGAGGGGTGCCAGCAGCTCTCATCACATTCACATCTTTTGGGGGAGCAGCTGTGGCCCCTCTGGTCAGCACTCTGGGTGGAGGGGTTTACGTGTAAGAGCAGGAGCCTCTTACTCATATCCATCATCAGAGAAGCAAGGACTGGCTGTCCTTCCTTCCTTTCCTGAAATTTCTCCAGCAGCTCCCTCAGCACATGGAACTCAGCCCAGATCCTTGAGGACTTGGCCTATGACTTCCTTTCCTATCTTAAATAATGGCTAGGACTTCCTGCTTTATCACTCAAGCTGGTCTCTGCCCAGGACCTTTGTATACCTTTTTCTTCTGCCTGGAACTTATTTTAGGCCTTTACATTGAGATGGAAAATGAACCAGCTCTTTAGTGTATTTGGCTAGTGTCGTACATCGAAAGCACCACTAATGTGTGGGATAGACTTTTACTGTAAGTACCCACTTTAAAATGTTTACTTTTCCTTTAAGTTAAACAAAGATGTTGGGGACCAGGGCAGCTTGACCTCGTAATTGTGAGACCTGTACCTGCTGTCCTGCTGCCTCACTGGAGGACTACCAGCCTATCATCTGGCTAGACTGCCTTTTTAGGATAAGCTGGCCAGGTCAGGCCTGATGGCACACATGCCTTCAGCAGAGGCAGGTGGATCTCTGTGAGCCAGCCTGGTTTACAAGGTGAGTTCCAAGGCCAGCCAGGACTATGCAGTGACTCTCTGCCGTAGTCCATCCCCACTCCCCCAAAAGACAAGCTGACTGCCTTGAGTATGACATGCAAGCCTCAGCGACCAGCTTTTTTCAGACACCCCAGGGAACCCTCGCAGTCACTTCCACGTTCTGAAGTGTGGCACCAGCGCTGTAAAACTAGTTGCTGTGGACCCAAGGGTCCTGGAAACTGAAGCCCATCCAGAAGGTGCAGTGCTGGTAAATGCGCCTGCTGCTGCTGCATTCACTGCTGCTGGAAGCTGGGGATTATAATAGCTGCCAAGTCCCAGGGCTTCTGCTTGGTAAAGCCCAGAGCAATAGCCTCCAAGCTGAGAACCAGGAGCCTTTCGGCTTCTAAAGCTGTAGCAATAGACCCCTAGCTCCCAGGGCCTGAGGTTGTGAGCCTCTAGGTCTGCCAGTCCAGCCCCAGGCCCATGGGAACTTTGGACCCAAAACTGTCAGTATGGATAGAGCATCTTGCTACCCACAATTCCTGTCTGGGTGGAGCAGGACTCAGCCAGCCGGTGAGGAACAGTGCGGCTGTTTTCCCCATTATGTTCACTTCCTGGAGCTGCTGTTAATAAACAAGAAAAAGGCAGCTGGAACTCGTCTTCTCAGCCGGAGGCTATTGGCCTGGCTTTTCCTGGGCCTCTGTGTGTCTTGTAGGCTTCTCTTACCCGACCTGCGCACCTGTGGTGCTGGGATTCCTGGCCTCCAGATTAAGTCTCCACCCTTGTCTTCACATCTTCACAGTGTGTGTGTGTGTGTGTGTGTGTGTGTGTGTGTGTGTGAGAGAGAGAGAGAGAGAGAGAGAGAGAGAGCTTCAATTTCTCTCTTCACTTTTTTTTAAAGACATGGTTTCTTCTATGTAGTCCTGGCTGCCCTGGAACTCACAGAGATCCACCTCTCTCTACCTCTGGAGTGCTGGGATCAGTGCTGTACATCACCACACCTGGCTAATTACTCTCTGCTCATCAGGAAAGGTTACTGGATCTAAGATTCACCCTAAATTCAGGATGGTCACAGCTACACACCCTTACTTAATTACAAAGACCTTCTGTCCTTCCTTCCTTTGTTTCGTTTTCCTTTCTTCCTTCCTTTTTTTTTGAGACAAGGTAGCCCTGGATGTCCCGGAGCTCACCTGTCTCTGCATCCCAAGTGCAAATAAGGTCAGACAGATCACAGGCCTTGAGGCTGAGGACTTGGTCCTCCACTCAACCTCTCTTAAGATTGCCTGACCTGAAGATCACTGATCACTCAGCTAACGCCAAACCATTTTCTGTGTCACCCTCATTTCGCTGGTGGTAATACTTTGATATCTATCAGTGACAGATAACATGGCGGTCAAGGGATCAGGAAAATGGCTAAGGACACAGCTGCAGGAAATGATTTTAAACAGAAGTCAAATCCTTTGTTTGAAGGGCTGAGGAGGAGCACGGCGACGGTGGCTTTTAAGTGTGTAGTGACAGCAGGGACGGTAGAAAGTAGGTCATTACCGCCTACAAGCTGTGTGGCTCTGTTCCACTGGTTGTCAGAAACCAGAGGCCATTGCTGTGCTTGACCCCAGGATGCCCAGTTCGAGGCAGGAAGTGTACGAGTGTAAACTCTTCACTTGAAGTCACAGAACCCTCTCTCGTGTGTGAGTGCAGATGCCACACGTGCAGGCACCCGCAGAGACCAGAAGACGCATCGAGTCCTTGGGAGCCGGCGTTACAGGCAGTTGCGAGTGGCCTGCCGTCGGCACCCAGACACAAACTAGACCCTCTATAAGAGCAGCACACGCTCGTAACTACTGAGCTGGGTCTCTAGCCCCTGATATCCAGATTCTTGAAAGTGCCAGAGAGAGGGGAGAAGCCTAGACAGTACCTCAAGAAATAACCCAGGCAGGGCCAGGTGCTGAGACTATGTCCTAAGGGACAAACGCATTCTCAAGGATTCTGCTGGGTCAGAAGGCTTCTGGATGGGCTCTACGACTCGGGAGGATGTTTAGGTCAGTATAGGAAACTTGAAAATGATCTGATTACTGAGAGGGAGTGGCTTTGTTGGGGCAAAAATCACACTAATTGCATGTATATGTAAATGTGTGTGTGTGCACATGCACATGTCTGTAATGCCTGGAAAAAAGTACTATAGGCTGATAAGGGCAGGTTTAGAAATGAGAGGTTTCTGTTTTTGTTCTCTTATTTAAATTAAAAAATATTTTTTTGGCACTAAAGTTGAACTCAGGGCCTTATAGGCACAAGGTAAATTGAGCTCTTTTTTGTATTTTTATTTTTATATTCATTTAAAAAGTTTAAAATATATATTTATTAACTAGGCATAGTGGTGCACACCTTTAATCCCAGCACTCAGGAGGCAGAAATAGGCAGATCTCTGAGTTTGAGACCAGCCTGGTCCATAGAGCGAGTTCTAGGACAGCCAGAGCTATTACATAGAGAAACCCTGTCTAAAGAAAACACATGCGTGTGCACACACACACACACACACAAAGTACCTTGAAGAAAACATTCCCAGCACTCTGGAAACAGAGGCAGGCAGATCTCTGTGAGTTCAAGGCTAGCCTGGTGTAGAGTGAGTTCCAGGACAGCCTCCAAAACAATACAGAGAAATCCTGTCTTGAAACACCAAAAAAAAAAAAAAAGAAGAAGAAAAAAGAAAAGACCCCCCCCCCAAGTGACAACCTGTGTGGACAGAGGTTCAGGAGGGACATGATGGGTGGTCCCCTCTGGAGTCTCAGGATGTGGCTGGGGTGCTGTTGCTTGGTTGCATGATAATGGCACTTTACAGAGTGCTAGAGGGCACCACTTCCTTGTCATGTGCGTGTCCCCACAGAGCTGCCTCTTGTTTCTGCTTGTGTCTATTAAGGTGCCCTATGACAGACACACAGCCCGCAGTGGAGTTAGTCAGATGGGCTGCCAGCTTCTCACCAGATGTTAGACAACATCTGCGATCAATAAAACCCTTGCAGATTCCTGGCACTCTTGGAGCAAACTGTACCCCTCACCCGGAGTCAGATGCCACCCAAGCTGGCTCTGTACAACCACAGTGTACTCCTCAGGGTCTCCTAGCGGGCCGGAGCCAAGGGAAGGGTTGTTGTGGCACCTAGGATGCAAAGGACGTTGGGAACTTCTCATGGAGCATTGAGACCTCATAGAGAGGGCCATGGCCCTGGGGTGGAGCTGGAGAGAATGCTTGGCTGCTAGGAGCATGAACTGCTAGGGTCTTCCAAGCTCGGTTCCTCAGGGAGGGGACCAGAGTGTGTTCATAACGTTCTGCATCCTGCACCATGAGCTAGAAGACAAGGCTGAGCCTACTGTTGGTCCTTAGGCCATGGCGCTAGACTTACACGTCACCAGGGCCACAAGCTTCCTCTCCAGAGTGACACATTCACTGCAGGGGGCTCTTTATCAGTCCTGCAGAGCAGCCTTTGGCAGGCTGCCTGGGAGCATCTACTGAACCAATGGCTCCAGTTTTAATTGAATGTGGAAATGCATGTCACCAAAGAATCACTGTTGTTATTTGGTGTTTGAATTCTGAGTAAAGCAAAAATAAAAATTCCCAGCACCAGCTTGACTACAATCATGAATCTTCCCCACACAGCAAGTCGTGTATTCATGGAACATCACACTAATGGATCCAGGGTTGTGATAGTATTGGTAATTGGATACATAGATTAGCTGTTCCTTTTGTGTGTGTGGGCTGGCTCAGCTGATAGAGCGTTTGCCCAGCATGCATGAAACTCTGGGTTTGACCGCCAGCATCATTAGGTGGTTCATGTGGTCTGAGTGTGGAGGAAGGAGGAGCAGAAATTCAGGGTAGGGTTGGTGACCTGGCTCATAAGACGCTTTACCCTGAATGTGATCCCTGGGAAGAGAACACTAACTTCCACTGGGACATGTATATTCCACCTCCTAGCAATTAAATACATGTAATAAATGCAAAAGCACGTGCAACATTATCAGCAAGTTTCAGGTCAGCCTAAGCTACATGGGACCCTCTCTCAAAAACAAAACAGCAGGATGCCTTTAACTTCCTGTACTCTGGAGGCAGAGTCAGACGGCTTATGTGAGTTCAAGGTCAGACTGGCATACACAGTGAGTTCCAGGACAGTCAAGGCTACAGGTCTGTGACACCATCTCAACAAACAAACAAAAAACAGGAACAAATACAAATACCTCCACAAAAAATATCGAAGTCATCTTATCTACATAGAGATTTTGAGGTCAGGTTGGGCTGCATAAAAGTTGTCTCAAAAGAAAAAACAAAAAATACCCCCGAAAAGAACCCAGCTATACCACCCTGAACATGCCCAATCTCATCTGACCTCAGAAATTAAGCAAGGTAGCACTTGGATGGGAGACTGCCCAGGAATACTCAGACCGTAGGCTTACAAAGAACAAACAACAAAAAGCCTGGAGAGATGGCTCAGTGCTTAAGAGTGTTTGCTGCTCTTCCAGAAGACCCCAATTCAGTCCCTAATATCCACTTCAGATGGCTTATGACCACCTGTAACTTTAGCTCAAGGGTATAAGGTACACTCCTCGGGCCTCCATAGATAGCCCTGTACACATGGCATTTACTCACACATATACATAAATAAAGAACATAGTAGCACACACCTTTAATATCATCACTTGAGAGGCCGAGGCAGGTAGAGCTCTCAGAGTTCAAGACTAGCCTGGTCTAGGCATTGAGACCCTACTTAAAAACTAAACAAGGGCTGGAGAGATGGCTCAGCAGGTAACAGGACTTTAGGACCCGTGTTTGATGCTCAGCATGCACATGGCAGTTCATAACTGTTTATAATTCTATTTTTAAGGAATCCAATACTTTTTTTTGGTTTCTGTTAGCACTAGGCACACACATTGTGCACATTCATATATGCAGAAAAACACTTATATACAACAGATAAAAATAAATCTTGAGTGAGGCAGTGGTGTTGCACGCCTTTAGTCCCAGTACCTGGGAGGCAGAGGAAGGTGGATCTCTGAGTTTGAGGTCAGTCTGGTCTACAGAGAGTTCTAAAATATCCAGGACTATCTGGAGAAACCCTATCTAGAAAAACCAAACAAAAATAATAAAAATAAATAATAAACCTTGAAACAACCCTGTATATATGTATCCTGTATATATATGTATATAGGTGTGAATATATATATATGCATATACATATATATATCAAAATGAAAGTGGGATGGTGCAAAAACTATATGTGTAAAGATGTGTGTAGATAAGTGTGTATATGCACATATGTGTAAGAGCATTCTGTGCATGTGTGTATGAGCGTGCATTTGTGTGTGCACATATGTATGCATGCATATGCAGGTATGTATGCATGTGTTCATGTGTGCACATGCTGCACATGTTTGTGTATGTGTGCATGTGTGTGCAGACACCCACTCATGCAGTAGATGTACATTGGCTGAAGCTCCCTCTCCAGCCCTGCTTACTCAGGGTAGGGAGATCCCATAACATGCTGCATGTACGGACTCTGGCTTGGTCTCCTGTTGCTGCAGAGGGTGGAATCTGGTTATGCTGGACATGCAGGGAAGGTGACTGAAAGGTGGCTCGCATCCACTGAAAGCTTCTTCAGCGTTGGGCTTTTGGGGACAGAGTGACTCGTTCATTGGGACTGCATACACCAGAAGGCTTCCTCAGAGTGTGTGGATCACTGTCCTCCTGGCTGGTGGCCCTCTATGGGTTTTCCCTTCCTCCTGTCCATCACTGGGCTGTGTCTAGCAGAACAACTCAGGAGTTGTGGAGATGGAGTGATCCTGCTTGTTGCCGAGGCAACCAGGGCTACTGGACTCCTTGACCTACCAAATGGCTCAACCAATCCTGGGGCTCTACAGGCAGCAGGTGAGTTGTACTGGCCAGGCAGCCCCAGCAGAGGCACTGAGGCAGAGAGTGTGGCAGGGCTGCAGAAATGGCTCCCATCCTGGAGACAGACACAGGAGTTCATACCGTAGATGATGTGAAGGTGGGCCACTGGGGCACTGGATGCCATCTCAGGAAGCACTGAGATACTGGACATAAACATCCTGTCTCAGCAGCTGCGTTCAGGAAGCACTGAGATGCTGGACATAAACATCCTGTCTCAGCAGCTGCGTGAATCCCTGGAGAAAGCAGCAGCTAACTTATCCATATCGCTCTAGGATGGTCAGTTGGGTTTTTGTTCCAGTGGGGAGTGCACAGGGACATTTGTGATTTCATACCTAGTCTGAATCAAAGGATCAAAGGTTGTTACCTAAGGAGTAGAGTTGCTCTGTGATGGTGATGCTGCCTCATGGCATGAGCTGGGTAAATTTCCTTCTTCCTCCATCTTCAGAGTGACCAGTACTTCCGGGCAATGCTTTGGGGACCCATGTGGTCCCTGCTCAAACTGTGGCTTTCAGGTGCTGAGCTGCTTTGTCATGTGGTTGACAGCAACTGGGGATGCCCACACACCATTAAGGGCCTGTTCACAGCCTCTGATCACTGTGTAAGCTGTATAGCTTGCCTGCTTTTATTATTGGCCATTTTGGTGGGAGGAGGTACTCTATGGTGACTTTAAGAATGCTCCAGGAAAGGCTGGAAAGATGGCTTAGTAGTTAAGAGCAACCTTGGCACAAGCTCCCTGAAACTGTGAGCCAACTCAGGAATTCTCCCTCTTGCATTGCTTCTCACAGGCATTTGGTCACAGCAACCGAAAGTTAATCCACTGTACATGTGAAGAGAAGGAACGCTCTCTGAGCCAAGTGCTTGGAGCTGTTAGAAGTCTGGACAGCTGGCACCCTCTCGTCACCAGAACAGGCAAGGAATCTAGAAGCAGCCAGCTATGAGGCACCAGCCAGGAGAAAGAGGCTTTGTCTTGATGACATTGGCTTGGCTCCTGGATTTTGCCATACCTGAAGTTCACACTACCCCTGGGCACCAGGAGAGCCTTCTTTTCTGATTTATGCTGTTCCTAGTTGGGGTGTCTGCTATCTGAAGCTACTGAATGAGCCCTGATTATTGCAGACACCATTTTTAAAAGACATTTTTAGAGGGTTTTTTTTTCTGAGACAGGGTTTCTCTGTGGTTTTGGAGACTGTCCTGGAAATAGCTAGTCAAGTGCTGGGATTAAAGGCATGTGCCACCACCGCCCTAGAGTTTTGTTTTGTTTTTTTTAAATCTTATATGCATAGTGTTTTTTTTTTTTTCGAGACAGGGTTTCTCTGTGGCTTTGGAGGCTGTCCTGGAACTAGCTCTTGTAGACCAGGCTGGCCTCGAACTCACAGAGATCCGCCTGCCTCTGCCTCCCGAGTGCTGGGATTAAAGGCGTGCGCCACCAACGCCCGGCTATGCATAGTGTTTTGCGGGCAGGCGTGAACTATGTGCATGCTTGGTGTTCCCCAAGTTCAGAAAAGGGTATCAGATCCTTTAGAACTGGAGCTACCAATGGTTGTAAGCCACCATGCAGGTACTGGGAACTGAACCCAGGGCCTCAACTGAGACGTCTCTGTAGCCCTTGCAGACACTATTCTAATAGAGACAGCCACATTCCTGAGAGGAAGATGCAGAGGTCCAGAGTTGCATGGCTATTGTTGGGCCAGCAAGCAGAATTCTGGCTTCCTGACTGTGCCTTCTCTCCTACTGGCCAGGGGAGGATGGTGGAGGGTAGTTCCATTCAGGGCTGTGGGAAGCTTATCCCCCAAAGCCATGGAGTGGCTGTGGCCACCTGCCAGTGACCTCTTGAAGGAGATGAGCAGTCCTTCCTTCTTCAAGAAGCAACCTTGGAGTCTTGTCTACAACTGGACATTTTACTGAAGTCACCTTTGCAGAACTGGCCTTAAGAGTCAAGGTCAAGTCCCCTTGTGAGCTGCTCTAAAAAGGAGCTGTCACCTGGGAAAGACCAGGAAGGCTGAGCAGAGACTCAGGATGTGCTCTGGGACCCAGCAGGATGTTGAGAAGAAAAATATTCTGAGAAAATATGAAGTTCCTTTTTGTTTAAATTAAGCAGATTACAAGGAAGCAGGGCTTGGCACCCATCTGCTGGCGCCATTTGCACTAACTGGGTGCCTACAGAGGAAATCTGTCTGCTGCATCCAGAAAAGAGGCAGGTTTGGGGCTTGGGCATGGCCTCTCTGATCCTACCTCTGATGATCAGAAGCCTGGCATCTTCACACTGCTCGACTGAGGAGTAGGAACCTTCAACAGGGCAAGTAGGTGACCACTTCCCTCATCATCGTGAACTGGCTGCAGACCTCCTGAGATCCCCACCCACATACCCCCACCCTCAGCTCCACGGAGAGCTCCACTGCTGGAAGCCAGGCTTTCTCTGTGGGTTCTAGATTACTTGGTACTTCTGAGTATGTGGCATGAAGCCTCAATATCTGCAGTGCATTGACCAAGGCATGGAATGAGGGCTATCTTCCGTGAATCATGGTTGCTGGATCTAACGGGGTTGATCTCATTTGAGAATAAGTTCATTTGCACCAAACAGAAACCCAAGCACAATAACTTAAGCAAATGTGGGGCAGATAGGCAATGTGGGGCTCAAAGAGCTGTTGGAGAACGTGAAGGAGAAGTCAGACTTGCTTCAGTATCTTTAGACTTCATCGCTAAAAAGTGGCTACCACACCCTAACCATCACATCGACATTCAAAACCGAAAGAAGAAAAAGGAAGCAATTTCTATGTCAAGACAAAGCTTTCCCAGAAATTCCCCAGAGACATTTCCTTTCATGCCTTGGGGCTCAGACTCTGATGCGTAATCTCATTTCAGGGCACCAGGCAAATGTCATTATTTATGGTTGAACTACAGAAGCACCAAACATCCAAGTTGGGTTGTGCGAGAGATGGGGATGGATTCAGTAGACAGTTGATGGATGCAGACTCTGACAGATTCAGTGTGTCTTTGTGCACAGAGCAGGGACCCTGCCATCTGCAAGAGGGAGCCTGAGGGCCTTGGGTGTGGGACTGACAATTCAGGCTTGCTTTCTTTCTTTCTCTTTCTTTCTTTCTTTCTTTCTTTCTTTCTTTCTTTCTTTCTTTCTTTCTTTCTTTCTTTCTTTCTTTCTCTCTCTCTCTCTCTCTTCCTTCATTATTTCCTTCCTTCCCCCCCTCCTCCTTTTTTTTTTTTTGAGGTAGGGTTTTTCTATGTAGCTTTGGAGCCTGTCCTGGCACTCGCTCTGTAGACCAGGCTGTCCTCAAATTCACAGAGATCTGCCTGCCTTTGCCTCCCAGGTGCTGGGATTAAAGGAATTCACCACCACTGCCTGACCTTCAGGCTGGCTTTTAAAAAGTACCATACTCAGGGCTAGAGAGACAGCTCAGTGGTTAAGGGCACTGGCTGTTCTTCCAGAGGGCCTGGGTTCAAGTCCTAGCACCCACATGGCAGCTCACACGTGTCTGTAACTCCAGTTCTAGGGGATCTGACACCCTCACACAGACATACATGCAGGCAAAATACCAATGCACATAAAATAAAGTAAATAAATTATTTAAAAAATAAAAAATAAAACTTTACAGAGGGGAAACAGCAGAAAGCATGACAGCCCCACTATTAACCTGTTGCATGAGAGATGTCACCATTGGTGGACTACTAGTGATGTGTTGGTGACATGTATCCACCATTATGTACCCTAGGTCAACTCTCAACTCTAAGGCAATGCTGTCTATTTAGCCCTTCAAAGCCCAAAATTTATCATGCCCATTTTATGCAATGAAGCCCTGAGATTATATATATATCACTTGGGTGCTAAGCAGAGATTGAGAAGCAATGCCAGTGTGGAGTTCAGGTCTGATAGATCCCCAGCAGGATCTCAGGACAGCTGGAGCAGGCAGTCTAGGAACCTCCTGTGAAGGCTGGATAGAGAGGGGTTAGCTGGAGTTCATTCTATGTATGACTCCTGCCACCTGATGCAGGGCAGGCTCGCTGAGTAAACATGGAGTCAGTGATAGATAGCACCAACAGCTTTGTCTGCAATTTGTACACTCAGTCCAGTGTAATTAGCCATAGTTTGAGGAGGGAAATAATCTTGTATTTACCTTGCAATTTGCAAGAGCATCTTAGGTAGGTTGTGTTGTTTCTTGTTCACTGCAAAAACTCTGAGCCCTCGGAGGATATGTGTGGTACCCTTATTTGAGGTATGTGTTGCCAGCAGCAAATTGTCCCACCATCTGTGCTGCTGTCTGAAATTCCACCGGGGGGAGGAGTCCTAGATGGCAGTCCTGCTAGACCCTGTCTCAAGGGTCACCAGACTGACCTTGCCACTGATTCCCGTCGTCATGCAGTTAGTTCAATAGGAGTGTCATGTTTGCAGAGAAAGCTGCCAAGTTGTCTGTTGGAGGGAGACAGACCGTGGAGGAGGCCTCTGCAGCTGTTACATGAGAATATAGGATACATGGCCTGCAGGTCCAGTGAGGGCCTAGCAGGAGCATCCTCTAGAGCAGAGAGGCTCCAGAGCCCTCTGCTAGGGGAATCTGGTGTCTGCCCTGAATTGATCTTGAAGAGGACAGATGGGTGGGTGGTCAGGACAGTAGAAGACTACGCCGTACCTTTTTCAAGGAGTGACCCACTGAACATCACGAATGGCTTGTCTCCAAATCCAGAAATCCACAGGGAAACGGAGGAGAAGGCCGTATGCGCCAGCACCTGGCCTGGCAACTTGAGGCATTGCTGTTGACTTCCCACGTGTGGTGCTGGTCTCCCTGCCCTGTGCCGAGCCCCAGCCCTGCCTGGCACATTTCTAGGTTTGTTTCTCCAGCACTAGTCTCTTCTCTAAGGTTCAAGGTTACCAGATCTCTCGTGGCAGAACACACTTTCTTTTATTTTCATTCCTTTCCTTCCCTCTTGCCTCCCCTCTCTCCTTCCCTTCCTTCTTTTCTTTCTCTTGAGACAGCTCTCGTACAGTCGAGGCTGTCCTCAAACTTGCCATAGCTGGAGATGATCTTGAACCTCCTGTCTCCACCTTCTGGGTGCTTAGGTTACGAGTATGCTCCACCACTCTTGGCTTATGTTATCCTGGGGGATCAAACTCCGGGTTTACACATGCTAGGTGTGCTGGCTGGACAGGTATCTTGGAACTGGCCTCAGGCAGCTGGGTGGCCAGTGCAAAGAATCAAGTCTATAATTGTTTATCAAATCCAGACAGGAGACAGGAGCTAAAAATCACATCCTTATTACTGCCACTTTATGGGCTGACACTATTGGACAATCCCAAGATACAGTTTCGCAGTGTGGTTTAGGCAACAAGTTCATGGCAATCCTCCTGCCTTAGGCTTCTGTGTGCTGGGATCGCATGCATGAGCCACCATATATGACATTACCTATTTACTGACTTCCCCTCCCTCCCTTCCTTCCTTCCTTCCTTCCTTCCTTCCTTCCTTCCTTCTTTCTTTCTTTCCTTTTTTTTGAGACAGGGTTTCTCTGTATTGCTTTGAAGGCTGTCCTGGAACTCACTCTGTACCAGCCCGGCCTTGAACTCACAGAGATCCGCCTGCCTCTGCCTCCCAAGTGCTGGGATTAAAAGGTGCAAGCCACCAACGTCCTGCTTCCTATTTCATTTTTTATTTTTAATTTTAAATTTAAATTAGAAACAAGATTGCTTCACATATCAATTCCAGGTCCCTCTCCCTTTCCCTCCCTTCCTCCCGTGCCCTCCCACCAACCCCCCAATATCCCCTCATTTCCCCAGGGAGGGTGAGGCCCTCCATGGGGGGTGTCCATAGTCTGTCATTTCGTCCAGGGCAGGGCCCAGACCCTCCCCTGAGAGTCCAGGGTGAGAGTGAATCTCTCATTGTTGGATGGGAGTCCAAAGTCCATTTGTATATCCGGGATAAATACTGATCTACTACCCAAGGCCCAACAGATTACCTAGGCCTCCTCACTGACACCCACATTCAGGGGGTCCTATTTCATTGTTAATGGACAGAAAATGTTGTTATACAGGATCTTCTAGGAAGTCTTCCCGTAACTGAAATGTAAGTACAGAAAGCTCCAGGCACAGACATAACCTGGTGCTTCAGTCACATCTTCAAGGTTCCTTCTCCTTCCTTCACCTTTGTCCTCTGTTCTCTCCCGCAAGCTAGATCTCATGAGCTGGCCTCCAGGAAACCCTCTTTCAATAATTGGAGCAAAATCTGGGT